TCCAAATAATGAAGTACATGTAGGTATCATAGCACAAAATAGCCTGGCAACTGTCATTTTGCAAAAACTCATCATTCGGGGAAAATTAGTTAATGCTATGCAGATTTTTCCATACAAACAGTAATCAATGAAGCTATTGTAATGGAAACAGGAGGCCATGGGATGCTAAGCTAGAGAAGCCTGTGGGAGGCTCCATTACAAGAATTGGTGGAGGGTCTTCAAGAGGTAGGGACCGAGCAGCTATTCCAGCTGAATCAGACCAAGCTCTGCCTATATTTGTCCTCTGCTTCTGGCTGTCTGATGACAAAAACCTTTTAATAACAACTCAAAGTCAGCACATTGATCGAGGGTGATGGTGCATGCCTGCAATCACAGCACTGTCCAAGGAGAGGCAGGAAGACAGGGAGTTCAAGGTCACCCGCAGCTGCACAGCAAATACTAAACCAGACTGGGTTATCTGAGATTCTGTCTTTTAAAAAGTAATAGTAACCAAGTCTCACTCTCTGGAAATCTTGTCATTTAAGGAGCTCACTTTACACCCTTTAAAATTCAACTAAATCTGTGGTATTACCAATTGCGTTGTTTACCCCAGGAAATTGGTGGGGTTATCCCCAGCCTCCTCACTTTCAACAGTATTCCAATACCTGATGGTGTTCTTTGAAAGATGTAGTATGTATGCAGATGGAAGAAAATTAAGAGGAACAATCAGAATTGAAATGGAAGCTTTAGAATCTTTGTGGGGGCACACAGACATAGCAGGGATATATTTTGTGTGCAGAAAAATAGTTTTTGACTGAGTGGGTGATAATTGGAACAGGTAAATAGCGCTTGCTTCATCCACCACCTAGTGGCTTTGTCATGTTGAGCATGTTACTTAGGGTCCTATACCTCAGTGTTCTCATTCACAAAAATGGAAACAGCATACTCTCCTCTCTGCTATAGATATGAATCTCGTTCTTGCTTGTTTAGGGCTTCTGGTGTTTTCTGATAATTATATCTGTTACCAAAGACATTTCCTTTCCATGGATCATAACCTGGAAGCTGCCACCTGTTTGTGGATGTCTGCAATTGATCCTGGCTTTCCTCTTGGTTTGATCCTGGGCAGCATCACCTCAGCCATTGTCTCCATCTTGCAACTACTCGCTAAACTAGACTCATGGCTACAGTAGACTCACGAAGCATCTCCTTCATCTCTATGGAACTCTACAGTCAGTTCCTGCTGCTCCTTTTTCTGATGAGACCACAGCTTCCTAGAAATCTGGAAGCATTATAAAGCCACTGTTTTTGGAGATGTGTGTGAACAATTGTCATACATGTACATAACTACTAGAGCAAGAAACAATTTTTAAATTTATGTAAATAAGAATTTCTCTTAGACTCGCTATTTAAAAGTTAAGATTATTGGTTGGAGAACTGTATAAGGGAATGTAAGAATCTTAACTTACAGGATAGCTATACAAAGGAATATAAGTATCTTAACTTACAATTCTTACATGTGGGAATCAAAGTTGATGTGAAACACGTAGACACTTATGTTAATATTGCATATGTTGAGTGTTTACTTTTAAAAATCAACATATTGTTATTAAGGTTGACTACAATACAATGTTATGCTAGGCAGGCCAAAATGCCCACAGAATGACGTGAGCTTTTTAAATGTTTTACTCATTTACTTATTTCGTGTGTATGTAATATGTTAATATACACATGCCACAGATATATGTGGAGTTTCCAGGACAAGGTGCAGAGTAGATTCTCTCCTCCCACCGTATCTGTTCTGGACATCAAACTCAGATCACCAGACTCAGCAGCAGGTACCTTTACCCCCTGTGTCATCTCACCAGCCCTGATGTGAGTTTTTACTTTTAACTCAGTGCTAAATTTGATTAGAAGGACAGCAGAAGAGAGTCAAGCTAAAGGTCAGTTCCAAAGACCCATAAAACATGACCGGACGACCGGATTGTTTCTCACTTCTAGGCAGAAGCTGTTCCAATAAACCCTGTAAGAGAGGCCCTCTCCTTGTGGCTGGGAATCTTCCTTCGAGGCACAGGTCTCGTTACTCTCATCAACATGCACAGACTTAGTTTCCTCTGCGGTTTTCTCTTCCACATTAGATCAAACACTCCTTCAAACAAATCAGGAATCTGGGCACTCATGTGTTACATGCCCTTTAAAAACCTGACAATACCATTTATTTCCAGTATGAGGCAGTACAGTCAAGTCTTTGTTTCTAGACTTCAAAATGCAGCCATATCACGGACGATAGCAATTGCATTAAATTCATGTAATTTCCTGAAGAGGTTCCACTGAGAACTGGTAGATTGGTAGGCTGCTATACATTGCTAAATACATGCAGGGTAATATCTTCCCAAAGTACAGACTAGAAGTGTTAGGAGATATAAAAAAAAATGACAAAGATTAATACTGAAAAGGTTCGTCACTTCTTACAAGAGAAAGAAGCGTGAGTTGTGGCTTGACTCGAGTCTCTCAGACTCCTTTCCTACTCTTCTGTACTAGAAAGAAGAAGCTCAGATGCCAAAGGGAGGATGACGCAGTTGTATGATTGACAGAACAGATGAAGACAATTGGTTTTTCCATTTTTCAGACATGTTAGATTCTATGCATGGCTTCTGAATTTAAATTTTTCTTTTAGGATGAAGGTATGTATTTTTATCAAATTGCCTGCTTTGCATTTTTTCACTTATTTACAGAGCATCTATTTGCAGAACACCTGCCAACATGTGGGAGCCTGGACAGACAATTAAGCTGCGATGATTTTCTCTCTCTCTCTCTCTCTCTCTCTACACACACACACACACACACACACACACACCTTGTTTCAAGTGGCCTTAAATCAAACCATCCATCACAGCAGGGTGTTGGGAGGCTCCCAAAGCCAGGCCCCTGTGTCAGTCCTGTGTGGTCACTGTGATTTGGCTCAGACTCATAGGGTCGTGAGATTGGACAATGGCATCTGCTTTAATCATCTCTTCCTCCTCCTGCCCACATCTGCTTTAATCTCTTCCTCTGCCGGCTTCCCCCTCCCCCTTTCTTCCCATCTCCTCCTACTCATCCTCCATTCTCTGCTTCCTTTCCACTCCCCTCCTCCTGGTCATTCTCCCTCTTTGCTGTGCTGTTTGCTTCTCATTACTTATTTCTTTAAACTTGTGTTCCTCTGATTACATGTCCATGGGCATATGTACACATACATGTTGATACCAGTTGTTTTCCTCAGTTGCTCTCCACCTTAGTGGTGGAGCTCATCCGGTCAGGTCGACTCGGTAGTCACCCTCCACCCCCAGTGCATTTTCATGTCTCCATCTCTTAGGCCCTCGGGTTACAGGAATGCACAGCCATGCCCAGTATTCAGCACGTGGATGCTGAGGATCTGAACTGAGGTCTCCACGGTTGAGTGAGAAGTACTCTGCTATCTCTCAAGCATGTTTTGGGGGCGTTGAAGACTCATTTCTCACACACTGACCAGGGTAAAATTCTATTTTAAAAAAATGGGTCAGAGTTTTTCACAGGTTTGCAGAGTCACAAGATTTGGAGAAATTAAGGTTAAAAATGTGATGGTAATTTTATATTAATAAAAATATAAAAGTAAATTACATTTTATAGTGATAATTCACTATTTAAGTATTTCATTAATGCTTTACAGAATATATTTTAAATATTTAAATTCTCTTAATTTTTTTATTTTTAAAATGAGGCCCTCAACACCCAGGCCTAAGGATCCAAGGACACATACTATGGAAGCCATTCAGAATTAGGTCCTTCAGAAATACCACTCTAAATCTGAACAAATAATTATACGCTTTGCCCTAAATAAATTGCTTACTTATCTAGAAATAAGTTTATGGAGCTGCAACAAGTCAGCAAGCAAACCCTGACTCTGATGCTATTTCTGTTTGCAGAAGAAATAAAATGAGCTCTTAAAGAAATGGAAGGTTACCAGGCTTCTCTTCACGGTCTTGTATTAAAGACTGCCATTTCACATAGCATCATCAATTCCTTTTTCTACATCTAAAATATATTCCAACTTCAGTGAATGGCTTCAGATGCATCAGTGGATGCTGGTACTCCTCACTGGCGCAGAGAAGCCGCTGAAGACACCGATCAACAAGCAGGGTATCTTTCTGATTCTTCTTTTAATAATCAAGGGCGGGATTAAGCGTGAACTGGAAGTCAAAGGTGAGCTACAATTGAGTTATTGGAATATGTATACCCAATGGAATGTTGAGTTCTGTTTCGTTTAATTCAGGTAGTGTTGTTTTGTTTTGTTTTGTTTTTGTTTTTGTTTTTTTGAGATATGAAACTAGAAGAAAAGAGACACTGATGAGCAAATATCAATTCTGTGCACAAAGCTACACTTTTGGCCTCCCAGACCTAAATCAGAGAGTATATCCATGTAGGAAAGGACAATGGAAAAAATACAATCTTCCAACCTTTCATTTACCTGGTGTATATGGGAAAGGTAAGCATGCCTCTGGTGTTTTTGTGGGGCCTGAACCCCTTCTAGAGTCCCCATATGTCACAGCACTGAAAACCCTAAACATGGATGGCGTAAATCTCACAGAACCAGACGCTGAGATGAAGAGCCACAGGCAATCAATAACTATGAGACAAAGATTCAATCTTTTCCAAAGATGGGCCTCCCAATAGGTTCTCCAATCCCGTGAGGTCAGCACTACACACATATATATGAGCAACACAAAATAACTCAGCCGGTGGTACCTATGTATACATGTTACAATAGTAACTATAGAAAAGCAATCATGAATTTGAGAAGGGAAGAATGCGAGGAGTTGAGCAGTGGAGAAGGAAGAAGAAAATAAAGTAAATAAGGTAATTATACACAAAATTATCAAAAAAGAAAAAGACAATCTGAAAATCCAAGTTTTAAAGTTCTCTTTGCAGGTTCTGATAGTGGAATTCTCACAAAACCCTGCTTCTGTAAACATTTATGTGTCCTTGAGACCAGAATGCAATTCACTCACCATGATAGATTAGATACAGACATTGCCGCGGCCTGTGAGGCAGTCGTCTCCGGATGTCACAATATGGGGACAGTAGAGCCTCTTGACAGGACCACTGCAGGCTTCTGCTCTGCTGGTGGAACAGGCACAGCCCACTTACTTGCTCAGGGCTGGAGCGGACCTGTGAAGAAAATGGAAACAGTGATGTCTCTAGGACATCATCTTATGGACTTCGGTCAGTTTCTTTCACCCAGGCAAAAACACCATGCTCAAAGACAAATATCTCTCCTTCCAATTCTTTAGGCGTCTATTTCATATATTGTCTGATAATCTTGAAACAAAGTTTTCTCTGAGCAAAATTTAACTTCATTAATACTGTTATCATTAATAGCTCAGACTTTATCTATTATTCTAATAATAAATACTTATTATGTATACAGTTTGTGTGTTAATAACATGAATGTGGGTTATGAATAAAGACTAATGACATTCAAATAATATACTGATCCTATCTTTAATTAATATTTTAAACCAAAAGGTCACAAAGCATAATAGAGTAGATTTTCTGTAGAAGCCACCACAGGATACAAACAGACATAGAAGAGAGTCTTAGAAGAGACACATCAGTTATTATTAAAACACTTAGTTAAGCATTTAAAAAAAAATCTAATGTCCAAGAGTTTTAGAAGGTCAGTTTATTGTCTCTTACATAACTTAGCTTGAAGCAAAGATGTTAACAGAAAATAGAGGAATTCCACTGGGTAGCAATGGATCTTTCTTTCGTGTCTCAACATATGTATTCTCTTCCTGACCTTACTTTGGGCTGCTGACCGCCAGTGCGAGTCTGTACACCAGCCAACAGAGAGGGAAAAATAAAAAAGAATATGTGTCCTAAAATTTACAGAAAACATTTATGCTTGAATTTTATTGATGAGAGCCTGGTCATTTGGACACCTTTATTCAGAGGAAGATGAAAAAATGCAGCTGTTTCTCTGGGTATTTTTTTTATATCAAGATATGTATTAATGTGTCTACCTCTAGGGAAAGGTGAAGCAGATTGGGAAGAAAACTAGCAGAGTCGATCCCCACACCCAACACACAATAACTTTGGCTCTGAAGTTTTTAATAAATTTGGTGCCTTTCACAGAAGAATGAACCTTCAGTGGTAGAGAGGTGGAATCAGCCTATAGGTTACTAATAACTTTATATGCATGATTTATAGTAAAAAAACATCACACGTCATCTTGCCTAGATCAGTCAGTGGTCAACAGATATGTATTGTGTCTGAGTACTCACCAGATTAAAAATAATTACCAACAATAGTGTGATGGATAATCTTTAATGCAAGTTGATTAGACCACGATACACTGACCAAATCAGCCAAGCACATGTCTAGATGTGATTCATGAGGGTGTATCTGTAGATGGTTAGGTCATATGTACTCTGTCCTAGTCCATGGATGGACTAGCTTGAACAGGTACCTGGGAGACTAAGAGACTGTGAGAGGTGGGGACACACTGGAAGAAGTTGGTCATTTGGAGTTTCTCCACAAAAGCTAGACCTTGCCCTAGTTCCCTCCCACTACTTAATCGCTATACTTGTTTCCTGTCTGCCATGAGATGGGGAGCCTCAGATATATCCACTGGTTACCATGGGAACATGCCTCACCTGGGGTCCAGATGCACTGGAGCCAGGGAATATGTAATTGCTGTGGGACAACGGTCTTGTATCCTGTAAAGACTGTCTCTTGTACTTTTTTAATAAAATGCTGACTGGCCGGTAACCAGGCAGGGAGTAGAGGTGGGGCGACCAGAACAGGAGAATTCTGGGAAGAGGAAAGGCTCAGTCTGCAGTCATCACCCAGATGCAGAGGAAGCAAGATGAGATGCCTCGCTAATAAAAGATATCAAGCAATGTGGCTAACACAGAGAAGAATTATGGGTTACTGTAAGATATAAGAGTTAATATGAGAGCCTGAGCTAATAGGCCAACCACTTCATAATTAATGTAAGCTTCTGTGTATTTCTTTGGGACTGAACGACTCTAGGACTGGGTGGGACAGAAACCTCTGTCGACATGTTTTAAAACTCAGAAGTGGTGGTTAGCTAAAACAAATCCTTCTACATTTAAGTTTCGCTTGGTCACAGCCATTTAAAACTTATAAAAAGAAATACAAGATTAATAAAATATAGTCCATATAAAGAACTCACATAGATGCCTCCAACAAATTAGACAGAATTATACATGCAAAAAAAAACCAAAATAAAAATTTTGTACTAGTGTATTTGGGTCACCGCGGCAGAACAGAGAACTAAACTTAATTCTAATTATTCCAAATCTGACCAGAAACTGACTGGAAGAAAAAAAAAATTGATTCTCTTATACAATGAGCAGTTATGAAGGTCCACATGCTAAACTGACTGAGTACATTCCAAAAGAAACTGTCAAGTGTATCCCTCTTTGGTTAACTGTTAAATCACATAGATAGACATTGCTAAGAACACAGAAACTCCATGTTCTGTCACCCTGACCATTCTCAACTTTTCTTACGTACTGCTTGACATTGACCAAGGACTCAGTTACTGCGAACAACATGTGTGGAACATTTTCCAATGCAATACATTCTTCTGGATATTCTTAATTCTTTCTTTAGAGAGCTGTGTATCTGGATATCATTATTTTAATACACAATCAAATTGCCTTGACTGAATTATACTTTACATTTTCACCAAGAGTTTCCATTGAAGGATATAATTACAGGAAATAATAAGCAAACACAGGACCTATGAAATGAGCTCCTGGGTTTGTGAGAATATTCACCAACACAAAAACACCGTCTTTATGAACATTCACAGGAAGGAAGCTCTGTCAGATGTCAACACCAGGAAAAATACTGTTCCCAATTTAAGTATAAATTTATAACTTTCAGCCAAAATGTACTATAACAAAAAACAACTATCTGTCATTTCATTGTGGTGCAATACAGTGTATTTTCATGTTGGAGGAAACCTTTCAAAGCATATGAAGTGAAATGCCATCGCCGAGTGCCCGAGTGGGCTGGAAACTGTCCGTGTAGATACAGTTGCTCCTGTGTGGTTGCTCTTAGCACAAAGTTAAGGAAAACAGCTTGTGGACTTAATTAAATGCCTTCTAATTAATATAGATGGTAGACACAAGTATCTCTTAAACATAATAATGCGTCACTGGGATGGTGCTTTAATAAAATGTTTAAACATCTATTATTCATGAGTGAGATTTTATGTTTCTAATGCGGCTGAAGGGATACTCTATTTTGTCAAGCTCACCAAGTTGCAAGGACTTCGTGATTCCATAACACAATATCCAAAGTAACTTTGGAGATAATAAAGCTATAAAATATTACTTGGAAAAATAATCACAGTGCTCAAAAGTTTGGGCCATAAAAACTCACATACTAATTATAGAAATAAAAATTGCATTAAAAATGTACTACCTGCATTTCATGAATTGCAGTGTTTTGTCCAAAGAAAAAAAGATCTTGGACCTTAAAGAGGATACCAAGTACAATATTCTGATGTCTAACAGATGACCCATTCTGCTCTAAGTGGCATGCTGTTTTGGTGGTGATGTAGAACGTTCATTCAAATTCTACTCTAAACACTGCAAGAGACAATGGACACAAAAGAATAAAATACACCAGTTTGGGAAGAATAATTTTATACTGAAGATTCAAAGCAGATGTTAGGGAGACAATGAGATATATTGTATATATATAAAATATACAATGAGAATATTAAACTCGTGATTTGTATATAAATTAGAAATCTTTAAATATCACATGACATCAGTGATCTCCTTCCTTTTCAGTTCACTTACAAACGAACTCTATGGGTCCATATTTTAAATTCTAGGCTCTCATGGTGGTTGTTTGCCTGCAAAACTCATTACAAATACTGCCATATATCACAAGTGTTGATTATTCTCAATCACCCAACAGATTAATTTTCCTCTATACTCTCTTATCCACATGCTTTGGGGGAATATGGACAAGATCCATGAGTCCTGTGAATTAAGCGCTATCAAATTTAGCAATTAAAATGTATGCTATGAGCACTCCACGGTCCAAATGAGGAGCAGAAGGATGAAGAAAATAAAAAAAGTAATCAGGACTGCGAGGGATGCGAGCACCCACTGATACAAGGGGACTGATATAATGAGAGTTCACCAAGGCCTGTTGGACTGGGACTGAACGAGGACGTGATCCAACCAGACTCTCTGAATGTGGCTGGCCCGGAGCCTTTTTGAAAAGCCATTGACAATGACACTGGGACTTGCTTCCTCTGCATATAATGGATTTTGGCGCTCCAGTCTGTTTGGACTCTCACCTTCCCTGGACCTGGAGGGAGGGGGGGAGGAACTTGAACTTCCCACAGGGCAGGAAACCCTGACTGCTCTAGGGGATGGAGAGGGAGGAGGAGAGGGAATGGGGGGAGTGGGAGGGTGTTGGGAGGAGGGGCTGAAATGGAAACTTTTATAATTTAATAAAAAAAAAAACGTATGCTATGTGTCGTTTCCCAGAGGTGCTGTCAGTTTAGAAAGAAAAGGACTTGTGTCTTTTGTTATCTACATTCTTGAGTATCCAGTGCTCTCCCGGTACTAATAAACCTGGAGACAAGCTTGAGAGTGCACCACGCCATAACACAGAGAGACCTCACCTAAATTATTGAACAATAATAAGTTCGCAAGTTATTTCAGTTTCACCGAATAAAATTTACTGAGTAATCTTGATCTCACTTCACTTCACAGTGCTCCCACTGGCGATCATGGCTTCTTCTATTCCATTCTTAACCACAGATACTGGCTCAAAGATCACACACTTCATTCACAAGACATGAACCTTACATAACAGCCACAGTAAAGTTAAAGGGGCAGGGTTCAAAGAAGTCTCTCTGAAGACAGGACAGACAGTTGACCCAGACACAGTGGGTCACTGTGGGCGGCTGAATGTTCACTGTGTTCAGAAACAGTGTGGAATCTTCTGGTGTCACAAAGAACTTTGCAACTTCAAGGTAGTGTTGGTTCAGGGCAGTGTGGGCTCAGGGCAAGGAGAAGATAGATGTAGAACCAGGAAGAGACTCTGCCATTCAACGGAGTCATCTCAAGCAGCAGGGACAATGCTAAGCAGACGCAAAGGGGACAGTC